GGCGGTTGTGGGTTTTGGTTGGTGGGGGTGGGAGGGACGGGCGGAGTGGATGACGGATGGCAGGGTGGGTTGGCGTCCTTGTCGCGGCTGACGACTGTCCGCGAGCGGGCGAGACGACGAGCTCGTCAAAGTATGTGAGGTGTGGACTGCAGAGACGTGAACCCTACGGCGTCGATACCGACGAGGAGATACAGCTGCTGGCCGGCGTGGAGACCAAATTACTATTAAAAAATTCCATGGAAAAAAATACCTTTACTAGATTGAAGTAAATTCAGACAAGCCAGGAGATCATTAATAAGCTACTCCCTCTATAAATTAATATAAAAACATCTAGATCACTAGTATTCTAAACATTCTTATATTAGTTTATGGAGGGAATAATTAATAAATGAGATATTGAATGTACAAAAATCCATGGAGAAAACACCTTTAGAAGTTTTGGAACTCGTATTGTATTTTCGGATCGATAAAAAACTAAAGTCAGATCTTAAGTATTTCGGTCGAGTGTTGTAATAATCGTTGGATTGTTTGCATGAATATTGACCAGGAAGAGTGGCCACGTCACATTTTGAGATAGTTCGGTGTCCTAATTTTTCAGAGCAAATGTTTTCGTTCCGGTCTCTCTCGCTCTTATCTAAAGTGTTCCACGCCTCAACCACCCACTGCATCCCACTCCAATCCTATCTTTTTTTTCTCTTAGGTATGTGCTCCCGTCCCTTCCTCTTCTCTCTCTTATGCGGAAGAGAGCAGGGGAGTTGCCGAGGTGTTCTGACCCGCATTTGACGAATCCCGTGTATTTTCAATGATTTTCCGATGAGGAGGATGGGGAAGAGAGGAGGCAGTGTTGATGGCCAAGGTGATCCGGCGTCATGTCTGATGTTAGCGACAACTAGGGAGAAGGATGATGGCGGAGGTTGCCATGAAGACGAGGACGTCAACGAGTTGTGGTGGAGGCTGCGTTTTGATGACCCACAAGTATAGGGGGTCAATCGTAGTCCTTTCAAAAAGTAAGAGTGTCGAACCCAACGAGAAGTAGAAGAAAATGATAAGCGGTTTGCAGCAAAGTATTTTCTGCAAGCACTGGAATTATCAGTAACAGATAGTTTGGTGGCAAAGTAATTCGTAACGACTAACAAATAACAAGTGTAACAAAGGTGTAATAAGGTGGCCCAATCCTTTTTATAGCAAAGGACAAGTCTGGACAAACTCTTATATGAACTAAAGCGCTCCTGTTAGGACCGAGAGTATATAGCCCAGTGGGGGGTGAATGGGAGATTCAAAAATTCTTGTGAATGTTTTGAACGGATCCCAAACACAGCAGCGGAAATGAGATTTGGTAGATAAGAACTTGATCAAGAACGTTATTAAGGAACGACATGGGAACAGAAACAGTAGCATGAGAGAAAATATGATATGAACTGCGGGGGAAAAACACGATAAAGAACAATGACGAGGTGAAAGAGAATAACACAGGGAAAACACTCCATACTTAATAAGATAAGTGCAAGGAGAAGTTCGTACGACTGGAACCACTAACATGAATGATGAGAATGCAACATGATGAACAACGAACATAACCGATGGGAACGACAGATATGATAGAGATGAATGATATGCAACGATCAAAGATAAATCAAATAAACTATCATCACAGAGCACGAAAGTAAACTGCTGGAGGTAATGCAGTAAAGTAAATTGAACCAGTGGTGCTCGATGGCGATATATGGATTTGGTAGACCAGTTTGCCCTTCTGCCAAAGGACTATGTCTGGTTGGAGGTGTTGCGATTTAACACAGAAGATAAACTCTCTTCGTCCTGTTCTCCTTCAACTAGGAGCTGATCAGACTCCAGTTGATTTCACTCATGGTAGATACTTGTCGGCAATCTCCAAACCTTCGACAGACCTCTTCCGAACCACAATGACTCTTGGTTGCTGAAGATCTTGCTTGGTGAAGACAATAACTCTTCAGCACTCGAGTCGACACCTATCCGTCTAGAGAGTGCGCAACTCTCAAGAGTAATATGTACAAGAACTCTAAACTCAGAACTACTGTGATGCTCAACCACTGTCTAAGTTTGGGCTCTTGATTCTTCTCTCGGTGGATCTTAAACTCAAAACACTCGGAGAGGGGTTGCTCAATCAATCTTCTCAGAAATCTTAAGCGGAGCAGCCAACGGGCAACTTTGGAGCAGGGTGGCTATTTATAGTTGTAGCCTTCCCTGAAGGGAAATGACCAAATTGGACATGTGGAGTAGCCAATGGCCGAACGACACAAGTCCAGCGGTCGGAAATTGAGCACAACGGTAACATTCCTTACGGAGCAAGTAATGCTAACTCCTCAGTTCGAAAGATATCTCCTGCGACACGAAGAACAACATCTACTGCTGGCAGGTAATCATTCGAAACATAAAGAGATTTCTCTCGCATCTTTCATAGGTTTTGGGTTAAGCATCACATAGCAGATCTAAGCTTCGAGAAACTATACCATCTTAATAGTACGGAGGTCCTATGACTCAAAGGAACGAGAGAAGAACAATGAAATGAATGCTACGTCTTCACTTTGTCTTTGACTTCCACTCGCTGCAGTCAATTTTCTTTGGACAGGATCTCCGAACCAATTGCTTCACATCAGCAGTAAATTTTTGAGGGGTTAACTCCTTCACATCAATCATCTCGTCTACATGTCTTTAATAGATGTAGCTCATTCTTCTCTGCAACACAGATATTCTTCGGTGAAGTTCCTCAAACTTGACACCACAGACAACATTCTCTTTGGTTCTGCATGGACTGTTTTTCTCTGTATGCACTAGCAAACAAATCAGTCCATGCATGTTTCTGTCAACAATCTCCAAAACACAAGAGGGCAAATATTGCACCAACAATCTCCCCCTTTTTGGACGATTATTGACAAAACAGAAGACATTGAAAGATAGATAAAGGAATGAAATGGAATGCGAAGGATAACGAAAGACGAGAGATAATTACGAAGATAAAACACGCTCCCCCTGAAGGTATGCATGGGATATGAAGTGGAAGGCAGCGAGATAAATCTTCGTATGAGTGACATTGACATAAAATCTCATTCGTGGTCTCTTTCAATGCACTCGACAGTGTCTGAGGTATTTCCTGTCACACACAATCTTGAAAAAGATTTGTTAGATAGAGTGAATACTTTGAAATGATTTGTGACGAAGAATAAGCCATGAAGGTTTTCTCATAACACGGTTTGAATCCACACGAGATATGAGTTCCCTGCAAGTTAGATATTCAAGGAGAATCAGAGCAAGGGAAACATGGGTATATTGTTCAAAGTAGATATGCTTCAGAAGAAATTTTCCTGCAACAAGGATGATATGATGGAAAAATGCAAGGAAAAACAACTCATGAGATGGATTAGAGAGAGTTCGCTTTCGAATCTCAAATTTAATCTGAAGCTGACTTTCTTCTCCTGCAAGGTTAGATAGTGAGAGATAATCATTATGGAATATCTAACCATAAGTCACATATAGTTCCAGAGTAAAATATCTCTACTAGAGAAGCATGATTTCTAATCTGCCTTGAAATGCTTTTACTTTTCCTGCACGGTAGATAAGTATCAAGGATAATAATTGCAAGGAAGTAAACTTTTGATTGCACCTTGGAAGCAAATAGCATTGCAGGGGGTAATTAATGGTACATGATGACCAAGTATATCAACACCACAGGCGGTGCTTCAAGTTCCAAAAGCAAATAGTTCAACGAAAACCAAATAGTTCGACAAAAAGGAAAATTGCGAACGGAAACACCCTGCAAATAACCCGCCTATCTATCACTTGATGTTTGATACGTATCCATCATATATACTTTTCCAAACTCTTTTGCCCTTGTTTTGGACTCTAATTTGCATGATTTGAATGGAACTAACCCAGACTGACGTTGTTTTCAGCAGAATTGCCATGGTGTTATTTTTGTGCAGAAATAAAAGTTCTCGGAATGACCTAAAACTTCATGGAGAATACTTTTGGAATAAATAAAAATTATTAGCGAAAGAATCAACCGAAGGGGGCCCACACCCTGTCCACAAGGATGGGGGGCATGCCCCTGTCTTGTGGGTCCCACGAAGCTCCATCGACCTCAACTCCAACTCCATATATTCATGGTCGGGAAGAAAAAAATCAGAGAGAAGGATTCATCATGTTTTACGATATGGAGCTGCCGCCAAGCCCTAATCTTCCTTGGGGGGGGGCTGGTCTGGAGTCCGTTCGGGGCTCCGGAGAGGGGAATTCGTCGCCATCATCATCATCAACCATCCTCCATCACCAATTTCATGATGCTCACCGCCGTGTGTGAGTAATCCCATCGTAGGCTTGCTGGACGGTGATGGGTTGGATGAGATTTACCATGTAATCGAGTTAGTTTTGTTAGGGTTTGATCCCTAGTATCCATTATGTTTTAAGATTGATGTTGCTATGACTTTGCTATGCTCCATGATTTCAGATCTGAACCTATTATGTTTTTATGAATATATGTGAGTTATTGATCCTATCTTGCAAGTCAATAGTCACCTACTATGTGTTATGATCCGGCAACCCCGGAGGTGATAATAGTCGGGACCACTCCCAGTGATGACCGTAGTTTGAGGAGTTCATGTATTCACTAAGTGTTAATGCTTTGGTCCGGTACTCTATTAAAAGGAGGCCTTAATATCCCTTCGTTTCCAATAGGACCCCACTGCCACGGGAGGGTAGGACAAAAGATGTCATGCAAGTTCTTTTCCATAAGCATGTATGACTATATTTGGAATACATGCCTACATTATATTGATGAAT